GTCAGTTAGGCAGTGTGAGCTCCAAACAGTAACTCGGGATGTTTTTCAATTTATTTGTGGGTTGTGCTTAACCAGCCAATCATATCCTAAGACCAGGGGGAGTGAGGAGATGGAAAAACAAAAAACGAGATACTTTCCTGGTGGTTGCCTGACACCAGCAAGCTGACTGGCACGGTCTGGTGGGTTATGGTAGTGAGAGAGTTGCCATCCAGGGATGATGCTCGCAGAGGAGTCGGAAGGAGAATAGTGGGAATGTTCAGATCTTGAACGACTGATTGGTCCAGCATGTTAGGTTCGCATCCAGAGTCTACTAAAGCCTTCAACACACGACTTCTTAGATTACACACCACAGTACAGGGAAGCAAACATCGGGAGTTTGAGCCACCATTACCACCCACCAGTAATCCCGGAACTACTGGTGGGCTTGCCCTTTTACCCGCAAGCCACAATTAGAGATTCTGTGCCCTGATTGACCACAGTAAAAGCAAAGATTAGCGGAGAAACAACGTTGCCGCTCCTCCTGACTCAGCTGGGTTCTGCCGATCTGCTTAGGCTCGTCTCCTGAGGAAGATGCGACTGGTGGCTGAGGGGTTCTGGTTTGAGTTAGCGGTGGAAATGACATTCTAGAGCCCTTAGAATGCTCCTTGAGACGCTTTTCAATCTTTATGGCCAAGGTAATAAGGGTTTCTAGGTCGGGAGGTTCCTGGCATAACGCCAACTGATCCTGGAGGCGATCATTTAACCCCTGGGTAAATGCTCCCAGTAACGAACCACAATCGAGGGAGGAAGTTGCTGCCAGCGTGCGAAATACTATGGCGAAATCGGCTACTGTTTGATTTCCCTGGCGGAGAGTCCACACTTTTTTGGCTACCTCAGCTGGGGTCTCTGAGTGATCGAACGTTTGCTTGAATTCAGCTAGGAAATGTGAAAGTGGACCATGCAGAAAACTAATGTCATGGCTCCTGGCTTCAGCCCAATCTAAAGCCTTACCCCGGAGTAAACCGATAATATAGGAAATCTTAAGTGAATCTAACATGAAAGCTTCAGGAGATCTTTCAATAGCCAACTGACAATTAAACAGAAAACCACGGCATTTGCCAAACTCACCGGAATAGATGTCTGAAGGAGGTGAGTTGGGCATCCGGAAGTTTACAGTAGGGGGCGGAACCGGAAGTACGGACGGAGGAGAAACTGGAGGCTGAGCAGAAGGTTCCGAGGGAGTTAAGCGAGTAGTGAGATTACGTAACATCGTGTCCATCTGGAGTATTCGTCGGTGAGAGTCGGAGACTTGCTCCAGTAAACCATGGATGGCATGTTCATGGCGTGTGAGAACCTCAGAAACAGCGAGCGGAGCACTAGTGGACGGGTTGGATTCTGCAATGGGATCATTGTTATGGCCGGATGATTCTGTCATGGCGGGCGGCATTTTGACCCACGACATGCAGAATCACCACACAGGAACCGGTAAGTAAGTAAAACGACTTTATTATATACTGAAGAGCAATGAGGGGAACAGACGATTGGCAGGCTGGCAGCAAGATTTCAGGATGGAACTCTGAGGAGGGAGACAGAGTGAGTATATGGAGGGAATGACGGAGAATGATATTGGGAGTGGAGCTTACTGATTGCAGTAGTGGTGAGAATTTCCGGAAGGATTGGTCAGGTCCGGGTGAGCAGGAAAGCTCCAGAAGGTGATGGGACTGTTGGTCCAGAGAGTAGGTAGGAGCAGCGGTTTGGTGAAGGCAGGTGAGCGGCTGAGAGCGAGCGGCCAGGGGAGGAGACAGCGTGATCTGGTGTGCAGGAGTCCAAGCTGGTTATGGAGGTGGTGGAGTGTGAAGAGAAACCTGGAGCAGGGGAGGATAATCAGGGTTTCCTCTGGCGACAGAAATCAAGCAGAGCTTCAAACACAGGTAAGTGACTAGGAACTAGAAATTTCACAGGATCAAGACAGGTTAAAGCTAGAGCTACCCAAGATAGAGTAATCATCCGGCGAAGTGAAGTGCCACACTGCTCCTTAAATCCCCTGGGCCGTAATGACTGGATTTGCTGCATCTGGAGACTCTCAGACACGCCCACCTGAAAACAATGCTCAGAAAATACAGGTTAAATGCAGGAGGCTCACCACGGACCGTGACACCTTGAGTGCAGCTTTGTTTTATTTATACTCATTACAGAGAAAACTTGCTCACAAAGATACGTTTATTTTCACTCTACATTGTAAAGTATGAAGATAAAGTTTACACAACCATCTCGCGGGCCGGAGTTAACCCGTTTGCGGGCCAGATCCGGCCCGCGGGCCATATGTTTGACACCCCTGCTCTAGGGTCTCTGTTTGGTTACAAAAAGGGCATCCCTCCCCGGTGCTTGGATCAAAGCGGGCTTTGTGTCTGTACGTAGCTATGCTCCATGTATGATCCTCCACTGGAGGTCAGCCATCCAGAGAGAGGGAGAGAGAGACCTACTCCACAAAGCCGTCAGGCAGCACTGAGGTTTGCATAAGCTGTGCTGTTTCATCATCATCATCAACCCTTCTATGAGCTTTAGCCTTCAGTGATGAGTTGATTTGTTCATGACTTCAGTCTGCTGCTGCAACAAATCTCAGAGGTCACGCTGAAGCAATGGAGCACAGTTTTAACCATCCACATTTAAATGCTGTGCAGGTCTTTTAAAAGGGTGGTGGTCATGAAACACTCAGATCTATTCATGTGTAGAGCTGCGATGTGACGAAACTAAAACTGAGAGGTTTGGGATTAGGTCTTGTGTTTTGGCACCTCTTCACACGTTCAAAAGTTCTGCTTGAAAGAAGCCAAAAACTTTCAGCTTAAGCGTTTGAGTAGCTTGATAAATAGATGTTGATCATTTAATTCAAAATTAATATGAAAGTTTTCTTTCATCATAGTTAGCGTGACAGCACAAACTTCCCTCCAGAAGTCCACATGTGGATTTTTAGCTTTGACCAACAATGATGTAAAAATACAATATTTACATTTAAACTAGAAATATGTACTTCCAGTAGTTTTGGTTTTGAAAGCAGAATGACATTTAGAAGGTGGTTTGCATGCCTGTTGTTCATGTGTGCAGTTTCCCACCACATCAGGACCAGAATGAGCCGAAAATAGCTCAAGTTTTCACTGAAACACGTTTCAGATGCAGTGATCAGTTTCATGGTTGAGCTGGTAGTTAAGTAGCTTGTTTCTTACCCCGGATTTAAATAGTTCTACGTGTTTTTGAACAAATACAGTTTCCCTAATATCAAATGTAGAAACTAAAGAGTTGGCATTACTTAAATATGTAGAAAAATAAAAACAAGGTAACATAAAACAGAATATAATTTATGAATCCCACAGTAGGGAAAGTCCTTTGTTGCAGCAGCACATACGCTGAAGAAGAAAATAACATCAACAAGAGTACAGGTTAACATGTTGACGGTTAATACACGTAGACAATAAGCTGTTATTGTAACCTTCCACAATTACAACAATTAAAAAGTACAAAATTAAGTTTCCAAAATCATGCAGCAAGAACGTGAACTTTAGTGCATATTCATGTTACCAGCAGAGTAATGATTTTGTGGCATCATCCACTATTGAATAAAGTAGATGAAATATAAATGTTAATCATTACGGCCACTGATCTCCACTTTTATTCAAGCTGGTTGCCTCCAGATTTGAGATGTTAAATAATGTAACCACAGAACGTCCCCCACATCTGAACAGGAAACGTTTCTTTACCTTGCAGCATTTCAGTAAAATACATTTTGTATGGGTGAATGATTATATTTAACAACACAACAGAATTTATGCCCCCAATATAAGAGTCTGTGAACATCAGGATGGTTCTCTGCCTCTAGAGGTAGTTTCAATGACAGAAACATGGTTTTTGTTACTGGGTGAGAGAGCAGACACCCCTCTAGGCTGACTGACAGATTGACAAGCTGGTTTTTGAGAGGTGGAGTCATCTGAGGACGAGTGACATGGTTGTGCAGCAGAAACACAATGGTGGAGGAAACTATTAACATGTAGCATTAATGAATCAAGAGCTGCTGTGCAGGATTGATCATCTGCGGACAGCATGCCAACACTGAGTAAAAATGGGGGCACTTATTCTAACCGAACAAACAGATTCAACAGCACACACATGAACGCAACAAGCAGAAACCCTGGTGATGTGAGTCAAAGTGTCAGCTGAAGCCCGGGGGAGAGAGCCACTGCTGAGGAGGACGTGGAGCGATTACACAACCACGGCCTCTCGGCCTGGCAGGAGTCGTGGTGTGAGGTGGCTTGCTGTAGGGACAGATGCTCTTTCATTTTTTTAAAAACGAAACTGTAAAATAAAGCCCACTCACACTATGAAATATTCATTTATTCAGTGAAATCTGAGCAGCGTGTGAAGCTGAATCTGACCACAAGAGGTCAGTCTAACAACATTTAAAGATGACTCACTAAAACCTGATGATTAATATCTATTATTGGTGGACAGTAATCTGCTGCATGTTTGACTCACTTGTTGCTTTAATGCGGTAAAAATAGCTGCAGGTAGGCAGCCACTAATTAAAAACTTACTGTGGAAAAGGGCTGAGCTTGTTTTCCAAGTTGTTAATAGAAAGAGATAAACTGAGTCCAATGGCATGTAGTTGAAACCTTGAGTCACACATTAAAATATCAGGTTCTTAGAAATGCAGAAACGCGTCATCAGGGATTCACTAACATTAAACTAATTAATGGGTTTAAACAAACTTTATTTGCTGTTTTTTTTACTTCATTTATTACATGATTGAAATGACTAAGAAAGAAGATGAAGAAAAAGCTAAAAACTATACTTATTTATTTGTTGTATCCCTTTGTAGACGTTTCCTATCTGCTCAAAGAATAAAAAGTATCATCTGATTCTATTAGGAAAGATACATTTAAATTGTTTACCCGGACAAAAAATGAAAAGTTTTCTAAGCTTTAGGACAAAAACTGATGTAAAGAGAACGTTTTTGTGTTTTTGTTGCTCAGCTGAAGAAGACAACTCACAGAATTTGCTCAACATTGATGCTGCTCAGCACCTGAAGCTGAGGGACAGGCAGCGGTTCTTTGAAGACGTCTACCAGCATGAAGTGGACAACTACCTGCCCTCTACACACTTGCAAATCGACTGCAGGAAACGTGAGCTGATGAGTTGAACTACATGCTGATTTTGTTTTCAGCCTGTGGTAGAGAAATGGTTTCTCTTTATAGCTCTGGATCCGATAAAGTAAATATCATGCTGCACTTTCACGTTCAACTGATCGCATGCCTCGATTAAAACTGTCAACTTTTATGATGCCTGTTTCCAAGCTTTGTGCTTTTATCTTTGACATGATGCTTTGGGTGCAGCTCCAATGGGAAGTATTTCATCTATGGAGGTGAACGTGGACACTCTAGAGCAGATGGATCTGATGGACATATCGGATCATGAGGCCCTTGATGTGTTCCTCAACTCGGGTTCAGGAGCAGAGGAAGGAGCGCTGGCTTCTCCTCTACCAGGTGCACAAAGATGAGACACTTTCTATCACTTCAGATAAGAAACAAAAGTTCTTCAAAACGATTAAAGAAGTCCAACTTCCTTTGTTTAAACCCACTTTTCAACAGACGAGTCACACAAATGTATTCAGGAAAAGCTCAAAGAGCACCACAAACTCAAAACTCTCCAACCTGAACGACAGAAAAACAAAAGAGAAATCTAGAATCAGTAACACAGGATCGGTTTCTGAGCTTGTAACAGTTGGTCATGGCAGACAGTTTTTATTCTGAGCCAGATGCTGCTGCAGAGTCTTCGTCTTCACTGTTGCTACATGCTTGTTTAGTGTGGAGTTGGCTGTAGAAGTAGAAGAAGAAACGATATTTTATATAGCGTCTCTCAAGATAAAAATAAGTCAGTCACTGACGTAATACTGTCTTCTGGGAAACTTTTAACTAACATGCAAAATGAACTGAATTCAGTGCACTGAAATGTTTACTTTGTGAATTGTTGCTTTATAGATCAACTGAATTCCGTTGAATTGGTAATTATAGAGTTTTGTTCTAGCTGTATAGTTTTAAATGGGCCACATTGTGGAAAATCCACCTTTTGTAGCTTTTTACCATATGATATTCTCATATCCTCATGAAAAAAAGACCCAAACCTACTTTTGGCTGCATTCATGCATTTTTCCTTTTTCAGCTGCTAATTTTTTGTTTTACTTTGAAAATCCTGTAAAGCGTCAATCTTGTCATCAGGCCCTGCTCCCCTGGCCAGCACAGGATATGTGGCTTAGGTGATAATTGCTTCGTAACATATGTAGTCAAGTGGTTAGAGTGCCAAGGCAGTCACTTTAACCACTAAACCACCGAGCCCAATAAAACAGCAGGCTACCTGTTGTAGGTGTGTTTTGCCGGAGCGGAAGTGGGCGGAGCTTGACTGAAAAAAACTGTTTTATTATGGTTATAAATTCAGGCTGATGAAGATAACTTTTACTTAAGATAAATGTCATCTCCACAATGCCTTTGGTAATATTTTATCATATAATGTAACTACTTCTGCTTTCAAAGGTTTCAAAAAGCATGATATGGAACCTTAAAACGTCAAATTCTCCGTTTTAATCACATTTTGCCTAAACCAAAGGGGTCTGTTCCAACTCCATACAAAATGCAAGATTTGGCGAAAAGAATAACAAGAATATAATTAACCTATTTTGGGAATTTCTATTAGTATAAAAGAAAAGTCTCAAGTAGATATTGCTTCATTCATAGACGTGATGTATCACAGACGTTAAAATGCTCTTTTAATGAGGGACCAGCATGTTCTAACAGCTTCTAATTACAGTGGATGAAGATGATGATGAAGATGAGGAAGATGAGGAAGGGGAAGTTGTCTACAGGGAACGAGCACCACTTCAGCGGCAGAAAGAAGTTCACTGCAGGCCTCAGTCTCGTATTTCCTCTACGTCGTCTGGCTCCAGCGTCACCAGCGCGGGTGGGGCCGACACGCCGGTGATCCAGTCGGATGATGAAGAAGTGCAAGCCGACACTCTTCTACTGACCTCTGTTCCCCACGCAAGGGATGAAGAAACAGAGGAGGAAGATGAAGAAGAACGATGCTTTCCAACTAATCTTTAGAAAATGAAATCTGATTTCATTGCTCTGAATCTGTATTCTGTTATTATGAGTAAATTCCTGTGAAAGGTTGGGCCAGCACCAACCTGCCGTGACCTTTGGAATTTAAATATTTGTTTTTTCTTTAGCTCATAACTTTTTCATCAAGTTCTGAGTAAGAGTCAGTGACTAGATTGTTGGCCGTGATGACAAAAGGCGTTTACACCTGAGGCCCGACACATTCTGTCTTCCTGCCATAACACGTTCTTGCCTGACATCAAACCGGTTCAATGTTATTCCTAAAAACTGCCAAAGAGAAAATTCCCTCAAGGCCTTTTTCCTCACGAAGAGCCGTTTCAACCAGATAAAATGTAGGAATTGATCAAATCACTACTTTTTGAACAAGGACAGTGTCACAATAAAAAAAAAAAAGACTGAAAACCTATTTTTTAGAGACAATTTCTACTGTTCACAACAAATAATGACATTCTGTATCAGTTAAGAATAAAAACAGAATGTGATGACTTAAAAGTAGAACCAACACATCATATTAAATATAGATACTGATTTATTTTTCTCCACCTCTTTAAGGTCAGGTGGTAAAGATAAACTTGACACTTAACATCCTGACATCATCTCCCAGAACAATTTCACTGTGAAAGCTGGAAATCTCTTACACAGATCAGACATCTGAACCAGACATAGCTTTCATCACAATCTAAAGAGCATAGGTGGAACAGATAGAGTATTACAAACCTGGAATTACAAGGCTAAGTATAATCTACTGTAACCTGAAGCAGGCCTAAACATCCAGTCTAGGTGCATCAAAAGATGAGACGCTGTTACATCTTCTCATTAAAACTAAAGCCACTAAAACCCTAAATACATTTTTTTTCTTTGCATAATGCAACAATCTGTCATCTTGAGGCTCGTTATTCAAAATAATGCTTGAAATGACGGTGTATATTTTCCCTGGTGATGGGGACAGTAGATACTAAAATCATTGCAAGCCAGTGGTATTTTTGTGTTAGAGTAAGAACTTACCAACGGATGGCCATTAGGGTCAAAAATCCGCGGGAGCGCAATATTCTAACGAATACTTTGTCAGATCATTCATCCTCCAGCAAAAATGACAAACACACCAGCCTCCCTTTCATCTCTGGGAACGAGTGAAGAGGTAAATGTGTACAACAACAACAACATTTATGGATGGCAAAATTGGACCCACTCCCATGTGTTTTATACCCAATTTTTATGGTTATGTGTTACAAAGTCGCCAATATTTTGCAACAACTGGGCATCATTTCATTCATTTTCAACAGCATTTTGATGGATATTTCCAGGGATTGATGGTAAAACCTACACATTGTAACTTTGAAGGGTATTTTTTAAAGCAGTGAAATAGTTAAACATTCTTCTCTATTATAAAGTGTTCATAAAAATAATAAAAAATCCATCTCAAACTGTAATTTACTCAAATGATATTTGTACTGATTTATTTTCAAAGAAATAATGTGCTTACATGATTAAAATCAGTGATTACTTAAGTTTTTGACAGCTATGTGGTCAGCATCTGAAATCGGACAATTGCATTTTCCTGTTTTTCTTTTTATCTTCTTTTTTTTAACGGGAGAGAATAACATCACCTTATAGGAGTTACCAAACATCCACATGAATGCCTGTACTCTGGCATGGCTTAATTCAAAATGTCGCTTACTCTTCAGTCTGTTGTTTTGGGACTTCATTGTTTGCACTGAAACTATACCTTATTAGTTGAGTAGTAAATGTTTAAGATGACAGGACTTGATTTAAGGAGTGAACTGACTAGACAAAGTTCATGCAGTTTAAGTGCAGACGTTCAGCTCCTCACAGTTTCAAAATACTTGTACTTAATAGTACTTGGTGTCGATGCTTTTCATTTTCCTTGATGTTGGCACAAAGAAACTTCAACGTCAGAAGTGATGCATGCCATTATGTCTTTCTGTCTCAAAGCTGTAAATCTGGCTTTTCTGTATAAAACATGACCTTGTTCGTCCTGTAAGATGTAAGTTAAGAGCTGTGTGTTTACATTATGATCATGTGATCTGTGTGTGAGCGGTTTTTATCCCAGGTTGATCCTTGAAACAGTCAGTGTTAACCAACCATTTTCCCCGAAAGCTGACTATTTTACAAAACACACTAAATAAAACCCTAACAGATAGAAAACACATCAAATGTGCTTCCTCCTCAATTTAATGGATTTTTTTGTACACTTTCAGTTACTCCTCTCAGGAGCTTGTCCTTTCTCGTCATGTATTTAAATTGTGCTGCTAAGTAGGAAGACACTCAAAACAAATAAATAACGTCAACAAGACAAAAACAAGCGTGCATGCAAAGTTCTCTTTGGAAGTCATAAGCACAATGATTAACAAAACCTTTGTGTGGCGAACAAGAAGAAAGAACAAAAACTAAGAAAAATGAACAGAAGTGTCAAACTGAAATTAGAGCCGGACCAAAATGAAAAACTCTGATGAAGTTGCAGAGCAAACTCTATATCTGATTAAAAAAAACTGATGTTGTGTGCATATGTACAGGTATGTATTGTTGAACCTCTTTGGAAACAAACTTATTTTTGTAGTTACACTGAATCTACATTAACCAAATTACACACGAGCAAGTAGATTAGAAATAGAATACACATCAGTGGTATTTGTTACTTATTATGTCTTGGTTTTATTTATCTTTTTATTCTTTAAAATGTGTGTATAGGGAGCCGAAGTCATGCCCATCTACTTCCGGACCATGGGTCCCCAGAAGAACAAAAAAATGAATGCAAGGCAAGGCAGCTTTATTTATATAACACCTTACAGCAGTATAAAACCGACCAAAGTGCTTCACAGAATTTAAAAACATTAGAAACAATACACAACATAAAAATGCATTAAGACTAAAGCTTAAGAACTAACACTAAAAATACTCATGCTGAGTTAAAAGCCAAATCATAAAAATAGGTTTTCAAAAGAGATTTAAAACCAGACAGTGTAGAGGCTGACCTAATGCCCAAAGGCAGCACATTCCTAGGGGCCACTACAGAAAAAGCCCAGTCACCTCTGAGCTTACGCCTTGTTTTTTGGGACTTCCAACAGCATCCTATCGGCCGACCTCAGAAACCATGCGAGGGAGTAACAAACCAGTAGCTCAGAGAGGTAATCTGGAGCAAGGTCATGCAAAGATTTAACACCCCATAAAAGCACCTTGTACTGGATTCTAAAACAAACAGGCAGCCAGTGCAGTGAGGCCAAGACAGGAGTAACGTGCTCCATCTTTTTCTTCCCAGTGAGCAGACATTAAGCAGCATTCTGTACCAACTGAAGATGCAAGAGGTGGGATTATGAAACACCAAGGTACAAAGAATTACAGTAATCAAGCCTTGATGTAAGAAAAGCATAAATTAGTGTTTCAAAATAAGGTTTTGACAGCAAGGGTTTGACTTTGGTGATCCTTCTTAACCCTCTCAGGCTCAAAATAAGTTTTGATAAAAGGACAAAAAACTTAGTCCTTCAGGGGTACTTCTAAAAATGTAGTCCTTCAGGGGTACTTCTAAAAATGTAGTCCTTCAGGGGTACTTCTGAGTTTAAAAAATGCTCATGAAATATGTATGTGGAGTAACCAGGTAGGTAGGTTTTAACTGTTGCAAATTTGCAACGCCTGCCTCCAGAGGGTTACTTGATAAAAAACTAGATTTAGTCACAGCACTGATCTGCCTGTCCAAAACAAGATCCAGTACAACACCCAGGGAAGTCACACTCAGTTTCAAGAATGGGGCAAGCTGACCAAGGTCAACTGCACCCACCACAGACAAAGTATTTGGACCAAAAACTACAACCTCTGTCTTTATATTATTAAAAAGAAGGAAGAAAGTTGGAGAACATCCATTGCCTAACCTCAACAAAACAATCTAAAAGAGGCCGCAAGGCGTGATTGTGGACCCTCTTAAAAGGCACGTATACTGGGTATCACCTGCATAGCAGTGAAAATGACACTCATGTTTCTAAAAATTGAACCAAGAGGTAGCAGATACAAAGGAAACAACAATGGGCCAAACACAGATTCCTGGGGAACCCCGCAAGAGAATGAAGCATTAGAGGAAGTAAAATCCCCCAATGAGACACTAAAGGTTCTGTCAGCCAGGTACAACACAAACCAATGCAGTGCAACCCCACAAACACCCACAAAGTGTTCCATCCTAGAAATCAGGAGAGCATGATCAACATTATTGAATGCAGCCGATAGGTCCAACAATACCAAAATAACAAAGTCCCCGGAACCAGTTGCCAATAAAATGTCATTAAAAACCCAGAGCATTGCCGATTCTGTACTGTGGACTGGCTAAACCCTTTGGAGGCAGGCGTTGCAGATTTGCAATGTTAAAACCTACCTACCTAGTTACTCCACACACGTATTTCATGAGCATTTTTTAACTCAGAAGTACCCCTGAAGGACCTAGTGTTTCGTCCTTTTATCAAAACTTATTTTGAGCCTGAGAGGGTTAAAACCAGACTAGAATTTTTCCTAAATGTAATTTCCCATCAAATACTCATTCAACTGTGAGTAAACTACCTTCTCCAGTACTTTAGAAATAAAAGGAAGTCTGGAGATGGGTCTATAACTGGACAAGGCAGATGAGTTGAGTCCAGGCTTCTTCAATAAAGGCTGAACAACAACATTTGTCCAGCTCCCTGGTACTCCAGAGAAAATACTCTGAATAATAATGGCAAGAACCTAAGAACCAACTGATAAAAAACACATTTTAAAAGCCTAGGGGCCATCAAATCCATGGGAGAACCAGAAGGTTTTAGAGTTAACAAATACAAGTCAATGGGGCTAAAAACGCTATTTTAAAACATGTGTTATACATTTGTTTTTTTTCTTCTTCAATATGTTAACAATAAGTTATTAGACAAGTGACACCAAAGAAGTGATGAGTTTAAGAACAGTCTACTCACCTTTTGGCAAGCAGATTGATTCAAATTGATCTTCATTATAAAGTCCACTAGATGTCATCCAGGAGCACAGTGTTAGAACGCTTCAAGCAATGAACTGTTGTTTGAAACAAATGCTTCAGAAAGCTTAATTTGATCATCACTACAACACAGAATTATTAAAAAAAAGATTAAATAATACAATTAAAGAAACAAACAATGGCCAGAGAGGATAGGAGAGACACCCCTTCAAACTGAAAATCGCAGCCTTTATATTGCAGAAACACATCAAGCCCAGGTGCATCAGGATCGAGCTGCCTGCAAAAACAGAGAGGAAAGCAAAACAACTCAACAACCAAAACACAAAGTCACGGTGGGGGCATCATAAGAGTGTTTAATGTGTTCAGATTAATAACAACATGTGCAAATGTGTTTACGGAACCAAGTGTCTTTGGGGCTGCCTTGAACCTTTCAGCGGAGGCTTACAGCTGTGCTTTGTCATAAAGTAGTCCCAAGTCTAAAATGGTACCCTTTATGTTACAAATTATTTTCACTTGCATTCAATATAATTAGTTAGGTCACCAAGCAGATTTGGGATCACTACTGAGTGATTTTAAGGACATCTTTACTCACATTGTGTCACGCCCTGCTGTGAGCCCTGTTCATCCATCCCACTTCCTGTTTGATTTTGGTGTCACCTCTCCTGTTTCAGTTCTGTTTCCTGTTCCTCATCACTCTGATTTCTCCCAGCTGTTCTTGTGTGTATTTAACCAGCTTCTGTTCCCTTTCAGTTGCCAGTTCGTTAATTTTCATTCTCTCGTTCCAGCCAGGCACTAAGCTACTGATCTCTGGGTCCTTTGACTCAGTTCTGTTTTTTGGGCCATAATTAAATAAGCCTTAACCTCAATAAAAGTCTTGTTTTGCCAAACTCTGCATTTGGATCCAGTCCTGACACATTGCTAAATGGACCCATTCACTTACTGTGTTTTATGCTAAGCTAAAGTTAAAAGGAGTACAGCCGGGTCAGGCAAATTACTGGGCTGGTTAAACACCATGTTTTCCCACTTATCTAAATCTGGGAAATATGTCAACAGACAAAATTTCAGTTTTAAGTGGATATAGTTGCATAATGCACAGTTTCTATTCTTAGTCTTCGAGGGCCACAATCCTGCATATTTAGATGTTTCTATGACTTAGACATGAATACTAGACATATAAAAACCCATTTCTCTCATTTCTCTTAGAGAAAGTGTGGGGCTGTGATGGCGGGAACAAATGAACCGAAACAAACCAATGTAGCCACCAGTTAACCCTTGAAGCCAAGAAGGAGCTCCGGGGCAGCTGACCCTCACGGCCTCCTGGTTTCCCTGCAAGGCTGTAGTCATAATGGTTGCCTGTGGAGCTTTAATATGATCTGTCAAATTACAAGCAGAGTGTCAGATTGCTGCGATCAGAGCCGGACGCCTTGGCTGCTTACATCAGCTCATCCTCCGCCATGGTTGGAGATCAGCTGAACATTAGATATATGTTAATTCACAGCTGATAGAGTTCTTCAGGGCACTTTTAGCGAGTAAAATGTGGCAGGTAAACTGACTGAGGATAATGGAGGCTATCAGGCTTTGCTAGTCCACCACAGTCAAAGATCCAAAAAGTCACCCGTAGTGGTTGAAGGGAGATCTGCTATTTCCGTCCCTTCCTTGTTGCTTCATAAAATCCAAACCAAAATTGCCCCTTGTTCTCTGCTCTAACATACCTGATTTTAATGATTGGATGATTTACAGGCATGCAGTAACACATGGTTTGCCAAACAGGTAACTAAACCATTGAAGCGGGTGAATTTGAGCATAAAGCAACTAAAACATGCAGGATAGTTGCTCTCAAGGAACAGGACTGTACACCACTGACTTACCGAGGTAACAGATCTTCTACTGATCAACTTGTTTTGGTGAAATATTATAAGTGTTCTTGTACTGTTTATCTAGCTTTGATTTCTTTCTGTCTGAATTGGTCATCCATATTAGTAACAGTGACTTTCATGTGCCTAGATTTGTCTTGGTAGAAGATCCAGCTGGTAGGATGGCTGTTGATGGAAAAAAAATGGAAAAATGTCAACAATCAAGAGAATGGATCGAGAGTCACCCTTTGTGGATGAAAACAATATTTACTGAGTTGTCACTGCTGCTATAGATGATGGTATGAGATAGTTCAAATAAACTGTGTAACCACAGTAAAATGCATAATGTCTTGTTAAAT